CCATCACTGGAGAGGGTAAACAGAGGCTGGGGGGGGGGGCGCGGAGAGAGGCGCCCTGTTCTGATACCCGACCATTGACTTACGTAGTTTCTCCAAAATTTGCCTTTCTTTGTATTCTGTCATCCCCCTTAGCGATCTCAATGTTGCCGCTGCCACCAACAATGCGGGGATGACTCCCTTGTCATTCTCTGTTCTGAGCTCCAGCTTTGTGTCTCTGGGAGTTCACAGGACCGTGTGTGATCCCACACTCGTGCACCCTTCCCATATGGACAATCCCCAAGCCTGGCCACGTCTGCCCTTGAAACATGGCCCACGCTGGGCTCAGGCTTCACGAAGTGACTCTGCTAACATGGTCTCCAGTTCATATTTTGAGATACCTATTTTAGGTGTGGTTTCTTTCTGTGGCTCTGAGCAGTGGCAGTTTTGCGGGATAAGGAGAGGGGGAAGAGGAGGGAAGGTAAAGGAGGGATGGCTCCCTAAATTAGTTCAGATGCTGTGAGAAAGACCCAAAATAACAGTGATGTATGCCAGAATAAATGTTTCTCTCTCACCCATGCGACCATCCAGGTATATCCAGGGCTGACATGACAGTCCCTCAGGGTCCTCTGCCGGGCTGCTCTGCAGTCCCCAGGGCACTGCCTTTGGCAGTGTGGTCCTGGAGGCCTCACCACACCTGCGCTCCAGCCTGTGGGAAGCGGTAGAAGGGAGAGGGTATGCTCCCTCTCGTTAAAGGCATGACCCGGAAGTTATACATAGCAGTGTACACATGACACGGCCACACCCAGCTGCCAGGAAGGCTGGGATGTGTAGTCTTTAGCTGAGTGGCCATGTGCCTACCTAAGAATTCTACAGACGGGGAGAATGGGTGTAAGAGGACTACTACCATGTTTCCCCGAAAATAAGACAGGGTCTTATATTTATTTTTTCTCCAGAAGACACCCTAGGGCTTCTTTTCAGGGGATGTGTTATTTTTTTTAAGTACGGTACAACAATCTACATTTATTCAAATATAGCTAAGTTGTCTTCTTCTGGAACATCATCATAACTCTCCAAACCCCGAATTCCATCCTGAATTTCTTGCGACTCTATTTCCTTTACAACCATTGGCCCCAATCTCTCATGTCGAGCAATGGAGCTCTCATGGGCAGATGAGAAGGGCTGCTGGTCGTCTTTACCGCTCCCCCGTGAAATGCATGGGTTGTGCAAACACGCTGCGTAGCCACGCCCATCACTAGGTTTTATTTTTGGGGTGGGGCTTCTATTGCGCAAATGCTTAGAAATCCTGCTAGGGCTTATTTTATGGGTAGGTCTTATTTTTGGGGAAACACAGTAGTAGTTTCTGCCACAGTCACTTTGTACATTTCAGTGTGACCTGCATGGCAGCAAATTGGCTGCACCTTAAGGATATAGTACCTGCAAGCTTAAAGTACTGAGGAAGTTTCACTGGCATCCACAAAACTTTTCTTTTATAGGTAGGAACATTGAGCTCAGAGAGGGGAAATCACCTAGTTAAGATTGCACAGCAAAGTATCAGAGTTGGGACTAGAACCTGTACTTTGGTTCACCTTCCACAATTTCAGGGTCTGGCTGGGAGGCAGGCAGGCAGTGCCAGGAGGACAGGTCTCTTGAGGTGAGGGAAGGGGCCACCTTTCCCAGTTTGTCTACCCAGGGAGCCACTGATGCCCCTTCAGGACTCACCTTTGGGGTCACCATGTCTCTGAGGTGCCTCCACTAGTCCTTGCTGTGTCTCAGCCAGTGTGGTGTACTGAAGTGCAGTGACCACGTGTGTGTCCACCTTCCCCATCAGAACTGCTCCTTGAGGACACACACAGCTCAGTCACCTCTCCATCACCCGTGCCTCCCATGGCGCTTTCGGTGAATAGTGAAATGAGTTGCTGAAGACGTGAATGAATGTGTGTATATTCAAGGACTCCTTTAGTAACAGATAATAGAATCTTAGCTCAAACCCAATAAAGGAAAAATGACTGGCTCAAGTGTCTGGGCAGTTTAGGTATGCAGCGTGCTTCAGGCATAGCTGGATCCAGGGACTTACTTGCTATTTTCAGAGCTCTGTGTCTGTCTCACCGTTCCTGTCCTCTTTGTGGAAAGTGTTGCCCCAGGAGCTGCTGCAGGGATTGGGAGTTAGGAGAGGGGGTTAGGAGAATGTGGGGTGCTGCTGGTGGTCCTGGTGGGGGCAAGGAGATGCTCTTGGGCACCCCCAGGCCCAGGGCATCTTAGCCCAGAGCCTAGGCTCAGTCTGGTTTTGTTGCTGTTTTGGCTTTATGGGGGCACATCTTGGGTCATCTCTTGGGAGCTTTTCTGTTGCCCTGGGGTTGGATTACTTGCTGCACCCTCAGACTGAGGCCTGTCCCCTCACTCCCGCGTCTCTGTGAAAGCCGAAGGTGGTTTGTCCTGGCAGGGCACCTTGCAGTTCCCACGTTTGGCTGGGACTGGGACAGAGAAGGAAGGAGGAAGAGGAGGAGGAGAGGAGGAGAGGAGGGAGGGCTGGCTGGTGACTCACAGGGAGGGGTGGGGGTGGCACATGTTGACTCCAGGGCAGGTCCCGCCTGGGAGGACAGTCCCCTCTGCATTGTAGAAAGGAGGGTGGGTGGCACGTGTGTCTCGTGAGGTCTGCATGTCCCCACGGGGCACTGGGTCCCGGAGCTGCCCATCTGTCCAGGCGGACAGTGATTGGCTTTCTGTTCCCAGGCCACCGTCCCAGTCCCTGAGCAGCACTGCACATCTGAGATGTGTTCCTCCCTCCGGCCCCGGCTCCGCGAGGCCCAGCCGCTGGGCCTGGAGTGTCTTGGTGCCGTGGAGTTCTCAGGTCTCCTGGGTTCTGGGTCGTCAGGCTCCTTCTCTCCGGGGCTGGCCATGAGGGTGGGTGTCCAGGGTCCAGGGTCCAGGAAAGGAATCTAAGGAGCAGGAGGCTGGTGCCCAGCCCCAGAAGCCCCTCATCCTCTCTCTGGAGGGAAGGACTGCTCAGCCCTGGGGAGCCCTGGCTGGTCTGATCGGGACAGGCACGCTCTGTTCCCCCCACACGCATGCAGGTGTTGTTCCCAGGTGATTCTGAGGAGTAAACCCCAGTGGCAGGGATTAGCCTGGTGTATGGAGGAGACAGTCATAGAAGAGTCTTGGTGCCAGGCAGAGGAATGTGGCCTGACTTCTATAGTGAATGGGGAGCCACAGGAGGTTCTTGAGCAGGGGAGGGACGAGAGCAGATTTCTGTCTTGGGCCCTAAGAGAAAGCACCTTAGAGGATGGAGTTGGCAGAGAAAGTGGAGCCAGCAGGCGAGTGAGGAGGGTCACAGGTAGGCCCAGGGCAGGGTGGAAGATGGGGCAGGAGCAGAAGAGCAGCAGTGTGAGGGGGCGGCTCTGTCTGGGCGTGGGAGGGAAGGGAGACCCGGGCGGAGCGCCTTCTCCCTTGGCCTTGGTGCTCCCTGCAGGCAGTGGGCGGGCGCGTTTCCTGTGGGCCGGTGCCCTGTGCAGCGGGACCAGCCGCAAGGGTGAATGGAGCGGGCAGCCGCTGACTCAGCAGGCGGCGCGGCTGAGAGGCTGCCAGATTGGGGACGGGAAGCGTGTGGACAGGAAGTGGCTGCTCAGGGCTTCCCCACTGTGGACAGCTGGGGAGAGTGGGGCTGGCCAGGATGCACCCGGTTTGGCCGAGGACTCCCTCCGCCCAGCTGTCGGCGTGTTGAGTGGGGGGCCGGTGTGCTTGGCTGGGAGTGGAAGGGTTGGGGCTGGGTGCCAGGGACTGATGGGAACTGACGCTGATGGCTGCTGATCAGGTGGCTCCATGGAAGGACAGAAGGGTGTGGCAGGACTGGACTTGTCTCCACTGTGCTAACTGGCAAATTCTGTAACATTAATGAAATCACTTATCTGCACTTTATTTTTTTTTTTCTCCTGCAAAACTGGGACCCAGTGGGGCAGCCTGTCTCTCGGGGGGTTAGGAAGATGTGAAATTGGTCCAATTCCTGCTGGTCAGTGTTGGCTGGCATAGTTGGACACTGGCCGTGTGACCTGACCAGGGCAGTGGCTGTGGGACATGGGAAGAGGCGTGTGCGGCCTGCCCGAGGCAGGCATCCTGGGGTGGCCGGGAGTGGGAGTAGGGCTGGATCCAGCTGGGAGCCCCTGCTCAGGCCTGGCCTGTGGCCGCAGCCCTGACTCTTACTCAGTCCTGGTGCCAGCCTCGGCGGTCAGCCCTAGTCGTGGCCTCTTCCATCTCTGGTCTGTGTTGGTCACTCAATGCAGATGTGTCAGGTGTATCAAACTACCAAGTGTCCTCTCTCTCGAGTCCACACTCATATACTCAGCTGCCTCCTAGAACTCTGCCCTGGAAGTTTCTTCACAAATACCGTTAACTTCACACATCCATGTTCTCTGCCTCAGGGAATGCCCATCCGGACACTGGGGCTCAGAGGCCTGGACACCCTGAGTGCTGCTTCTCTCTCCCCATGTCCTCAGATGCTGTGACTCGTACCCAGACCTGCTTCTTCTCTTTCACCTACCCCTCTGTCTCCTGCAGCTGCTGTCAGATTAATCCTTACGGAGCTCAGCTCTGACCATGTCATTTCCCCCATTCAAGAACCTTCTGTGGCTCCCAGCTGCCTTTAGGATGAAGTTCATGCCTCTTAGCCGATCCCTAGTTCTGGCTTCAGCCTGAGCTCCTGCCCTCCCCACTAGCTATTGTCTGAAGCCAGGTTGACCCGCACATGGCCTTGCCCCAGAGCAGGCCTTTGCTTACCCCCTTGCTTCCTCTTCCTTATATTTGGATACCAGCATCTTAGGGTGAAAGACTGGATCCCTGCTTCCCCAGTGACTGCCTCCTGCCAGCCCCCTCACAGAGAGCCCTGGCAGGAAGCCCTGGGGGGTACAGGAAGGAGGGCCTCCCAGGGAGCAGCTGCAGCCTTCCTCACGCCAGTCCAGGGAGATGTGGGGAGAGAGGGCCTGGGAGGACCTTTGCAGACAAAGGCTTCACTTCCTCTTCCTCCTCGGCAGGGGCAGCCTTCCCCTACGGAGAGCCCAGCTGTCAGCTGCCCCACAGGAAGATGCTGCGTGGACGCGGCAGGCCCGGCATGGCCGTGCACGTGGGTGCAGCCCTTGGAGTGCTGTGCCTCTGCCTCACAGGTGAGGGGAGCAGCCTGGGGGCTGGAGGTGGGGCACAGGGATCTTGGCCAGGTGGGAGGGGTGCCCACTCCTACCAGGGGTCCCGCCAAGCTGGCTCTGGCTGGCAGGGCCACATCATTTCTACCTCTGGGATCCAGCAGGCAACTAACTTTACCTTTTTAGCCTCCATTCCTTCATCTGTGAAATGGAAATGCGAGCACTAAACGTGATAGTGCCGTTTCCTGAACACACTGTGTGTGCTCTTTCCTCAGGACCTTTGCACATACTGTCTCCTCTGCTTGGAACTTTCTGCTCTGCCAGACATCTGTATGACTTGACCCATTATTTTGTTCAGGTGTTTTGCTCAAATGACACCTCCTTGGCAAGACTTACTGGCTACCTTGTGTGAAATAGCACGCTATCCCTCATCCCTCCCTATACCTGACCTTCCTGCATTCACCTTGCTAGCATTCACCTCCCCTGCCATGTTCTGGGTTTACTTGCCCACCCCCCACGCCTGACCTGGTTCCCAGAGCAGAATCTAGCCCTAGGGCCAGGATGGGTGTACACAGTAGGTGCTCACCAACTGTGTTGAATGAATGAGGCGAATCTTCCCACGCAGTGCTTGGCACATAGTGAGCACTCAGTAATGGTAGCTACTTTGAAAGCAATATCATCATATTTCAAATCCCAATCAGCATCTTTGCTCTGAGGGAGAGCCTCGTTCCAAAGACAAAGCTGAGTGTCTGGCGCCACCTCGTGGCCACAACAGAGGCGATGCACATCTCTAACCATGGCCGCTCTGACTTCTCTAGAGAAAGGGTGACTTCCCAAGATCCACACCCCAGATGCACCCTGGTCCAGCCGGCAGGGGATGAGAACTGGCCTGGGGCGCCTGGGGTTTCAGCAGGAGACCCAGGGCCAGCTTAGGACCTTTAGAAATCTCCACGCACTACAAAGATTATGATACCCTCTCCCTGGGTGGAATTCACAATACAAATACCATAAAATAAGTGTTATTTTTCCAAATGCAAGAAACCTTTAATGGGTCCTGTATGCAATTGGCTTTGTTTCAAGGCTGTTTGATCCACACAAATTTTGCACATGCCTGCTTTGCTGGTGCCCAAAGCACACACTTAATCTAAGCATTACCCAACAGGCAGTGCTAGGGTGGGGGGCTCGCCCCCTCCAAAGGAAAGGCTGTCAGGATCCCCTGCCTGACTTCCCAGGACTCTAAAAGAAGAGCTAGAATGGAGACAGAGGTGACTGGGTGGGAAGCAGCAGGGTAACTCCACTGAATATACGGTGGGGGCTCTCTCTGGGACTCATGTTCAGGGACCGCCCACCCCGACTCTAGGGCTGGAGTTGCCTCCGGCTGCTGGGATTTATGCTCCTGCTTTCCCCTCACCCCTACCTCATCAGCAAGCCCTGCCGATTCTCCCTCCTAAACCACCCTTGAATCCGTCCCATTCTCTCCATCTCCCCCGCCACCCTCTGAAGCCACACCACCGTCACTTGTGAAATAACCTCCGGATAGTCTGCCTCTTGCCTTTCTACGGTCCACTCTCCTCAGAGGAGACAGAGTGAGTTTTAAGCACTGCCACCCAGATTATGCCTGATTGGTATTCCCCAGTGATTTCCCATTCATTGCTCTTGGGAAACCTAAATCCCTTACCTGGTCTCTCAGCGCCCTCCTTGCTCTGGCTTGGACATGCTCCGCCCAGATGCCTCTGCCACGCGGACACTTCCCGATGTTTCCACACTGCACGCCGGATCTCGCCTGGGGCCCTCCCCCTGCCTTCCCTCCACCGGGAACACTCCCACGCTGGCTTATCGTATGTCAGCTCCTTTGCATTCCCCATAAATCTCAGCTTCTTATCTTTTCAAAGAGAACATGTCTCACTACCACATTGAAAGGTATGGGTATTCTTTCTTGTATAAGAATTAGTCATGTTTATTTAGGAAAAGATAAAAAGCACTTGCGATCCCCTCATCCAGAGAAAACCACTATTAACATTTTTGGTGTGCACTTTTTAGACTTCCCTTCCCGATTCATAAAATAACATATGCCTATGAGGAATGCAAATAGCACAGACAGGTGTAAAGCACCTGCTCATTTTCGAAAAGGCACCGCTTTACTTTGCTGGCTTCTTTTCTTCTTTCATACCCTAATTACATGCGAATGAGAATTTGTGTGGTTTGTCCCTCCCATTCGGTGTAAGTTCTGCAGGGCATGCCTTGGTCTTGCGCTCTATTGCGCCTCTAACTCATACCTGGCACACGTAGGTGCCCCCATTTTCTCCTCGACTGAATGAGCACCTAAGGCAATAAACATTTTGGGTCTCAGGCCTGAAAGGAGGACTGGACAGGGCCTGGGTTTAGCTGGGGAGGGAGAGGCACCAGCAAGGCTGGGAGAGACCCGACCCTTCCTCCCCTCTGTCCCTAGGAGCTGTGGAGGTCCAGGTCCCCGAAGACCCGGTGGTGGCCCTGGTGGGCACTGACGCCACCCTGCGCTGCTCCTTCTCCCCCGAGCCGGGCTTCAGCCTGGCGCAGCTCAACCTCATCTGGCAGCTGACGGACACCAAACAGCTGGTGCACAGCTTCGCCGAGGGCCGGGACCAGGGCAGCGCCTACGCCAACCGCACAGCGCTCTTCCCCGACCTGCTGGCTCAGGGCAACGCGTCCCTGCGGCTGCAGCGCGTGCGCGTGGCGGACGAGGGCAGCTTCACCTGCTTCGTGAGCATCCGGGACTTCGGCAGTGCTGCGGTCAGCCTGCAGGTGGCCGGTGAGTGCCGGGAGGGGGCGTCCTCCCTCCCTGCCCTCCATTCCTCCCGCAGCCCACCCCCTGCGCACCAGTGCCCCCAGACCCCAGGCCCCAGTGGTGACCCCTACTCACAGCCCGACGCATGCTTTTCCTCCCCTGCATCTCCCCTCCCTGCCCTGACCCCTGCCCTTTGCCTCCTCCAGCACCCTACTCGAAGCCCAGCATGACCCTGGAGCCCAACAAGGACCTGCGGCCTGGGGACATGGTGACCATCACGTGCTCCAGCTACCGGGGCTACCCCGAGGCCGAGGTGTTCTGGCAGGATGGGCAGGGTGCGCCGTTGACCGGCAACGTGACCACGTCGCAGATGGCCAACGAGCAGGGCTTGTTCGACGTGCACAGCGTCCTGAGGGTGGTGCTGGGCGCCAATGGCACCTACAGCTGCCTGGTGCGCAACCCGGTGCTGCGGCAGGACGCACATGGCTCCGTCACCATCACACCGCATAGAAGCCCCACAGGTTTTGTTTGTTTAAATGTCCCCCGAGGGAGGGGCTTCTGGTTCTAGTAGCAGGGCCTGGGGGATCCGAATCTGGCTCCTACCCTCAATTTCCCAGAACAGCCAGATGCCCAGTAATGACAGGGAGAAGAAAGTGTGTGGGGGACACCCCTATTGGGTGGTGGTCAGTGATCGCAGGCCTTGGCTGTCTTGATTTCAAGGCTCCGGGAACTTCTAGAAAGGATGGAGACACATCGGGGCAGCGGAGAGCAGAGGGACAGGAGAGGGAAGGGAGTCCTGCTGGGCCAGGGGTGTTGCCAGGGCCAGAGTCAGTGCCCCAGGCCTGGCTCCTGAGACTGAACTTGCAGGCCAAGGCCCACCTGCTGGGGTCGTCCTCGGAAGACTGGGGGCTCCACAGCAGGGAACGCCGAGACTCAACCTGCCTTCGGGGCTGGGGAGAAATAGAAAGATGGAACAGGGCCTGGGGGTTGATGGGGAGGCTGTGGGGCCGTAGCCTAGAGAGTCCCTGCCCTTCCTCACTGCTCGGCCCTCTGTCCCCAGGAGCTGTGGAGGTCCAGGTCCCCGAAGACCCGGTGGTGGCCCTGGTGGGCACTGACGCCACCCTGCGCTGCTCCTTCTCCCCCGAGCCGGGCTTCAGCCTGGCGCAGCTCAACCTCATCTGGCAGCTGACGGACACCAAACAGCTGGTGCACAGCTTCGCCGAGGGCCGGGACCAGGGCAGCGCCTACGCCAACCGCACAGCGCTCTTCCCCGACCTGCTGGCTCAGGGCAACGCGTCCCTGCGGCTGCAGCGGGTGCGCGTGGCGGACGAGGGCAGCTTCACCTGCTTCGTGAGCATCCGGGACTTCGGCAGTGCTGCGGTCAGCCTGCAGGTGGCCGGTGAGTGCCGGGAGGGGGCGTCCTCCCTCCCTGCCCTCCATTCCTCCCGCAGCCCACCCCCTGCGCACCAGTGCCCCAGACCCCAGGCCCCAGTGGTGACCCCTACTCACAGACCGACGCATGCTTTTCCTCCCCTGCATCTCCCCTCCCCTGCCCTTGACCCCTGCCCTTTGCCTCCTCCAGCACCCTACTCGAAGCCCAGCATGACCCTGGAGCCCAACAAGGACCTGCGGCCTGGGGACATGGTGACCATCACGTGCTCCAGCTACCGGGGCTACCCCGAGGCCGAGGTGTTCTGGCAGGATGGGCAGGGTGCGCCGTTGACCGGCAACGTGACCACGTCGCAGATGGCCAACGAGCAGGGCTTGTTCGACGTGCACAGCGTCCTGAGGGTGGTGCTGGGCGCCAATGGCACCTACAGCTGCCTGGTGCGCAACCCGGTGCTGCGGCAGGACGCACATGGCTCCGTCACCATCACAGGTGAAGAGGCAGCTGGACAGCTGGGGAAGGATGGAGGGAGCAACTACCTCTTTATTAGACCCGAAGCTGGAATTTCTATAGGTTTGGGTGGTCAGAAGACTTTTTAAAAATCACTTTCATAGATTTCAGGTGTCTCAAACTCTTCCTGAAAACAAGTTCTTATAGGGCTTACTTTAATGGGCTGAGGACAATCATTCATAATATTTGCTTTTTTAAGAACAGTTTAGCACTTAATGCTGCTTCAGTAGAGGACAAAGTGCCTGCCTGGAATCTGGAAACGTGGGTGGGAACTCTGGGGCAGCCACAGGGCGTGGCCGGGGACATGGTGAGGGTGTGCTTTCCAATGGGAACTTGTGCAGGTGGTGGGAAGGTATTGCTATGTCCATGGGTGCCATTAGGTTCTGAAGGCCTGGGGACAGCTGGGCCTCTCAGGTGATCAGTCCCCCTCACCTGAGTCAGTGCCAGCCCTTCTTGTAGACCTGAGCTCCACCCAGGCAGCGGTTGGATTGGCAGGGGCTGCCTCTGCTGCCCCCACGTGGTCAAACACTAGATGGGGGCCGCCCATTTGACTGTTCTCTCAGTCTCCAGTTCCCAGGTCCTAGCCCAGGAGGGCACCCCTTGTGCCAGGGATGGGAAGGGGGAGGCCCATGTTCGGGCCAGGCTAGGAGAGGCAGGATCTATCCAGTGCTCCCCTAGGCCTGCCTGCTCAGTCTGGCTCCTCGATCCCGCCTCTAGGCCAGCTGAGCTTTCCCAGGCGCCTCCCTGCATGCTCTGAGGTCAGGACAGCTGGTTCTGTCTGTCTGGTTCTCCTCTTGTCCCTTCCCACGGCTTCTTCCCGACCCCCAGCCCACCCAAGTTCCGCTCTCCCCTGGGTTTGCAGGGTCTGCACAGACCTCGGGACTTACCGCCTTGCTCCTGCCTTGCTCCTGCCCCTTGAGCCTTGTGTGGCCTTCACTTCTGACAAGCTTGGGGTCCAAGCCCGTCACTCTGTCTGCCAGGAGTTCAGGCTCATTCCTCCCCCTCCTTTAGTTGTTTCCTTCTGGCAAGGCTGCGTTCCCTCTGCCCACCTCTTCCCGAGACTGAACCTGCCCTCTCCCGGAGACCCCCTGGATCTGTGATCTCTGTGAGGGTCACTGGCCTGGGCTCTGGGGTGTTGAGACATCTCCTTGACCTTTTAGAGAACAGCCTGTGGTCTGGTAGTGAGGATGGTGTTCACAGGAGAAAATAAGAAATGCAAGATAGAGTGAAATTGATGGAGAAAGTGAAGCTTTCAGAGAAGGAGGTAGTGGTCAGGAAGCCTCCAGTGGCACTTGGGAGCTGAGAGGGCCTCAGAGGAGAAGGGGACTTGGTGGTCATTTGCAGTGCCCTGCAGGAAGGCTGGTGAGTGTAAACTTCAGTAGCTAACATTTAAGGTGGTTTCGTTTAGTGGCCGTGGTTGCCAAGCACATTTCACAGATGAGGAAACTGTGGTCCTGTGAGAAGAGGGAACTTTCCCAAAGCCACAGACTCTGAATCTTTCAGGGGTCAGGCCCCTCTTAGAACACTGGATAAATGAGAAATGCAGTCATTTGCAGGTAACTGGAGGGTCGTGGCCTCTCTAAACTCGCCCACGGCATCTGTGGCCTGGGCGCCAGCACCCTGCCGTGAGCCGATGAACCAGGATCAGAATCCAACTTTGGCCTCTCAGCCTAATTTTCTCTCCTCCCCACCAGCCAGCCTCCTGTTTTGTTAGAGCAGGTCTGGCCTACTTTGGAGCCCTTGGCCTGTATTTCGCTTCGGGCAGCTTTGTGCCGTGTAAAGCATTCTGGGAGTCAGACTGTCGGCCCTCCAGCTGGTCTCTCCCACACCGGACGGAGGTTGTGAGGTTGCGTGTGCTGGGCAGAGCCTTTCGTGGAGGGGCTTGATGGAGCAAGCCCTGGACGTGGAGGCTGGAGATGTGGTCTGAGCCCCGGCTCTGTCCTTTCCTGGGTGAACAAGGGCAAGTCTGGTCTGTGTTCTAGGCGCCGGCACCTGCCTAGGGGCGAGCATAGAAAGCGAGCTCGCGCGGCTTCTCTGTGCTTCTCGCCTTGTGCGGGAAAATCGGCTTCGTCCGCCCACCACGCCCCTCTGCTCCTCACAACGCCGCTTTCCCTGGGCACACAGAATCCTTGCCCTTCTGTACTGTGTCGCTTTGTGGGGTTGGCGCTTGCCACACTCCTTACTGATGGTCTGGCGGGTTTTAGGGACGTTCATCGAGCTTGTAGGAGTGCTGTCGGCAACGAAAGCATAGAGGTTCTTGGATCATCCTGAGAAGCTCGAAGCATTATTCAGAAGTCAGTGGGGAGCCATAGAAGGTTCTTGAGCATCATTCAACCACAGCCTCTTCAGCCCTTCCTGGTTGCGGCATGCCCACAACACAGCATGAGCCCTGAGCCGTGGCTGCCAGGGCCCGGGGGTGGTAAGGGGAGAGGCGGTGGGAGCGTAAGTGAGCTTTGTTCATAGTGTTAGTGCCCAGTGAAGTGGGACCCCTGTCACCTGGGCCATGGAGCCAGCATGCTGGTCTCATTCTTCCCGATTCCCCTGCCAGGGCAGCCCGTGGCATTCCCCCCCGAGGCCCTGTGGGTGACCGTGGGGCTGTCCGTCTGTCTCGCCGCACTGCTGGTGGCCCTGGCCGTCGTGTGCTGGAGAAAGATCAGACAGAGCTGTGAGGAGGAGAATGCAGGTGAGTGGGAGGGGTGCGTGGGTCCGTAGTGTCGCCTCCCGGGACAGCGGGAGTGAGGGTGTGCGAGTGGGCCTAGATGGCGTGTGTGTGAGCCGAGTCTGCCGTGTCCTTTGTGCGCGAGCCTGCCGTGTGCAGGCGTGGCAGGGCGGGAGTGGATGCGAGCGTGACCGGACGTGGCGGGTGTGGAGGGCCGGTGCTGTGAGCACACGCGTCTGTGCCGACAGGCGTGCCTGGGGAGCGGGAGCCACGCGAGCGTGTCTGGGGAAAGCAGACTAGAGCACGGGGACTGAGCAGCACGGGTGCGAGCGGCGCGGTGGGCGTGCTGGTGGGGGAGGGGTGTGCGGCCACGGTCTGAAGCAGCTGCCATTTGCTGGGCCGAGGGTCAGTCTGAGTGGACGTTGGCAGTTGGTAGTGGGTCAGAGGACGTTGGTGGGTGAGTGAGCGGACCCTGGGAACTGCCACATGGGCAAACAGAGGCATAAGAGTAGGTGGGTCACCAGAGGCTGGGAGATGGCTGGGGCCCAGCAAGGACAGTGGAGGCGAGGATGGCCGGGTGGCGGGTAGGTGAGTACCTGTGCAGCGGGCAGTGGGAGGCTGAGTGCATCTGGTGGAGGGTGACGGTGTGGGCTTGGTGAGCAAGTGAGTAGGCGAGGTGTGGGGCTGGTGGAGGGTGGGGAGGTGGTCCCTGGCCAGGTGAGTGGTGGGCTACAGGCTGGGGGCCCCTCATTCTGTCACAGGTTCGGCCCTGACCCCGAGTTGCAGCCCCGGGTCTGGCATTCAGGACACAGGTCAGGCCTGCTCGGCCCGCTGGCCTGCCTCCTGCACTCCCGCTGGGGAAGGACAGGGACGAAGGTGCGGCTAAGGAAGATGTTCACGCCCAGTTCTTGTCTTCTAGGAGCTGAGGACCAGGATGGGGAGGGAGAAGGCTCCAAGACAGGTGAGTCTGAGCTTGGAGCTGGCCCTCTTGGCTGGGGGAGGAACACAAGGGACAAGAGAAAGGACTTTAGGATCTGGAGGGGCCACATTTGCTATACGGTTTGAATAAAGTGTGTCCTCTGGGCTGGGGCCTCCTGACCAGGTGAGTCCACTCTTCGCTTGGAGCTAGGCATGGAGGCAGGTCTGACGGCCACCGGGTGCAGGTTCATTTCCCTGCCAGCCTTCACCTGTGCGGGGCCCACTCCGCCGGGTTGACCCTGCATTGCGGAGTCTGATGGCTTCCCGGGGTGGGAGCAGGGACTCGCCACACGGCAGTCTGGGGTTGAGTTCTAGCTCCTCCTCATGTAAACTGGCCTCGAGCAAGTCCTTTTGCCTCTGTGGCCTCAGTTTCCTCCTATGTATTAATAAAAGGGGCATGCTAGCAGGTTCATAGGTTCTTTGGGTGGAATTAAATGTGATCATGTCTATAAAGGACCTGGTACCGTACCTGGCACCCAGTAAGCGCTTGATACACTGGAGTCCTGTTATTATCAGGCAAACAGCCAAGACTGTCCTGTTCTAGTTAGAGGCCGTTTCACTCAGGGCAAGGTGCTTTGTTCCTCTGGGCTTCAATTTCCCGTCTGTAAAATGTCATTCTGACCCTGCCCTGGTGGCACCAGAGGCCGGTTTGGAAGTTCTCTCGAGTGACTGGATTGGGAGGTGTTTGCAAAGGACACTGCACAGTAAACCTGGAGCCCTGCTCGGGCTGGACGCCCGGGCACTGTACCGTGGCCACGGGAGGCTTCCCTTCCAGGGCGTCCTGGGCTGGGAGAGGTGGGTTCCTGATGAGCCATTTGGGATGGTTCCATTTGACACCAGTTTCCTCCCCACCCCCGCAGACAGGAGATTGACACCTGGGGACTGCTATAAATTATGCCAATTAATTCTCTGCCTGTTGGTGCCCAGTGTGGCAGGCATAGAGAGCTCTGGGATCAGACCTCATTTTTCATGCTCAGAGGCAGACGCTGTTGGCAGAAGGGAGGGTGTGGGGACAAGAGGGTGGGTTAGACATTTGGTCAATCTCCACGCCACGTGGTCCCAGCCGCCCGGGGGTACCTGCAGATCTGCCAGCCTCCTTAGCGCCTCACGTCACCTTGTGTGTGTCGTGGGCTCAGTGCACGTCCGCTGCAGTGCACGTCCGCCCTGCAGTTTGCTCTCTATAGACGCAGAGAGCTGAGGCCCAGAGAGGAGTGACAAGCCACAGAGTGGAGCTGAGACTTGGGACTGGGGCTTGGGATAGCAGCCCAGGGCCCCTTCCCTGTGCTGTGATGTTGTCCCTGCCCTGCCAATTTCTTCCTCCTGCCCCTTGGTCCTGGTCCTTCCGGCCCTCACTTCTCCCCCGCCTGACACTCTGCCCCTCCGCTTTCCACGGCTCCTCCCCTCATGCTCCTTCCTGTTTTGCAGCCCTGCAGCCTCTGAAGCACTCCGAAAGCAAAGAAGGTAAAGACGTGTGCTGCTTGGGGTGTGTGCCTGTGCGCTGGTGCGCCTGTAGGAGGCGGGGTGCGGGTGGGCGTTGCCTTTCACTGGTGGCCTGAAGCCCCCTCCCTGGAAGAGCAGCCTCACCTTCCCCCGGTGAGATGGCAGAGGGCCGAGTCACCAACGTCCCAGCTGTTCTAATAGGACCCAAATTTGGCAGAGGTTTAACCAGGGCAGGAGTTTTTCTCTCTCCGGTAATAGTCTGAGCATAGGTAATGTTAAAGCCACGATGTCCTGGAGCCAGGTTCCAGTTACCTGGATTTTGCCCTCTTCAACTCAAAGCTTCCAGCCCCAGGGCCAGGAGGCTGCTCCAGCTTCCAGCCCCCTGCAGAGGCAGTGGGAAGGAGGAAGGGGAGGGCACGTCTCCCCCTAGGGCTTGGCTGGAAAGAGCGTGTCACTTCTGCTGACCTCTTGTTGGTCAGAACCTAGTGATAGGACCCCTGACCCAGGCGAGGCTTGAAAAGCCATTTCAGCTGGGCAGCCATGTCCCCTGCCCACAGTAGGCGGTTAGTAAGTGTCAACAGTCATCAGTATTCACATCATAACAACAGTCACATTAGGGAATATAGGAAATAAGTTGTTCTCCTCCCTGTTGCTTGGAACCAAATGATCGGAAGAGTTGAGCAGAGGGAGATCACACTGTCAGCCTGGCTTGGAGGAGTTGCTGGAGACCACGCCGGTGGGAGCGCAGCTGGCTTCCTCACCCTGCTCCTCTGTGGGGCAGCCTGGCCCCCAGTCTCTGGCCACATGGGGGACAACTGCAGAGGTGGTGTCCAGGTGGGGGGATTTCTTTTCCCGGGGTCAGACAGGCCCAAAGACCAGGACTGGGTGGGGTAGAGGCGGGCCAAGCCCTTCTCCCCGACTCCATTCAGGTTCGGATGTGGAATGAGGTCAGGGCTGTGCCCCTCCAAGTGGAGACAAGAAGCCACAAGGAAGGAGGTTACCTACAGCGTCATCTCGGGGAAATCAGTGTGGAGAGGGGACACTGGAGAAGGGCTTCTGCTAGAAGAGGGGTTTGGGCCAGACCTTGGAGAGTGACTTGGGTAGACCGTGGGGGGAGAGGGGCGGGGAACAGTGCTCCCAGTGGGGGGCTGGTGGGAGGACTCGTGGGATGGAGAGAGAGGTGGGCAAGGGGAGGGTGGGCTCCCTCGGGCTTTCCTGGTCATGCCCAGTGCCTGGCTCCCAGGTCTTGGCCTGGGCTTCCAGGGCGGTGGCAGCACAGGGGCTGTCTGTTGGACCGCTGTGGCCAGTGTCACATACACTCCCCGCCTGGGTTATGTACCTGGTGCCTGGGCTTCTGGCATTTAATACTCCCCCTCCTTTTTTTCTTCTCGTCATGAAATGCAGATGATGGACAAGAAATAGTCTGACCACAGGGACCAGGGAGCTGCTGCCTCCTGCCTGGGTGCACTGCGGCCTCGGTGTGAGCCCTGCCCCCAACAGATGGGTCCCGCTCTGGCAGGTGTGCTTGTTCTCCAAAGGATGTGACACGCAGGCCACCCTGCAGCCTTACTTCTCAGTGGACGCGATTCCCAAGTCATCCTGCTGCTTGTTTCTTAGGGACGCAGCACACAGACCACCCCACCACCTCATTCCTCCAGTGACACACTACATACATCACCCTACTGCCTTATTCTTAGGGACACAGTGCACAGACCACAGACCACCCTATTCCTCCAATGCTGCACGGCCATCTGACTGCCTTTTTCCTCCAAAGGATGCAATATTCAGACTGACCCCTGCCTTATTCTCCAAGGACATGATGCACAGTTGCCCCTTGCCGTGTTGCCAGTGGCCCCGATACACTGGTGATGGTTGCTTGGCCCTGTCCCCACCCCTGAACAAAGTCCTGTCTGCCCAGACAGGGGCACTAAGCCTCAGCATCTCCTAGAGCCCAGGGGCTGTCTCCTCCTGCCTCCTCCCCACCAAGTGGAGACAGGACCCTCTCCCCGCCACACACACAGGTGTACAGAGACGCACAGGTGCACGTGCTGGAACACGGAGCGCATGTGGCCTTCCCCTGGCCCGGTCTCCTGCATGGCGCCCTGGGCTGTGCCCTCTGAGGCCCTCTTCTCTGCCTGCCCTCCCGTGGGAAGTGTGTGCTGGTCACACTGCTTCTCTGGGGGGCTTCAGTGGGTCCCTGGGGGTTAGCTTCTGTCTCTCTGCTTTTCCCACCGTTGGACCCTTTGTTTCTTCCTTTTGGTCTGTCCACTTAATTAACGCGTACTGCGCGAGCACAGGGCATGAGCACGTGCCAGGTGTTGGGCGCTTCCTCGAGCATCTCCCCTGCAGCCGCACAGTAGCCGCCCCGCCTGCAGTTCACCAGCTCCTGCCTGGCTCCAGCTGTGCCCACAGCCTCCGGGATACCTCAGCCCCACCCACCCAGAGCGTGGGGGGGCAGAAACCTGGAGAGAGGGACACGCCCCTTGCCACAAGTAGGGAATCTGGTAGGCTCCAGAGCGTGTCTCTGCAGGTGTGAGCAGGTGGCCACGGCCCTCCACACCTTGCGTAGCAGCAGCACAGGCGAAGCCTCGGCCTCTCCCTGGCTGGAGTGGGGCAGGGCCAGGAGGGCTTCCAGGACCAGGGGGACCCCCACTCCCACCATGGTGCTATTCGGAGCCAGGGCAGACACCTCCTGGCTTGCCTCCAGCCAGCCCCAGCCTCCAGTAGAGCAGAACTTGTGACGTTCTGTCGCCTTCTGGATGGCGTCTCTCTCTACCCAGCAGTGGAAGATGTGAGGTTTCTAATTTAAATGTGGGACTCTGAGTTTTATAAACTGGGGTGTATTTGGGAAAAATAAATGTCTTTGTAAAAAGCGTTTTCCTCTGTCAAGTGTTTGGGAGCAGGGCGGGCCTGGGGCTGCGCAGGAGGGATCCCCTTCTGGACGATTCAGTCCGGGACAGGAGTGCCTGGGGCTCCCGACTCTCGTCACCATCCTTAAGTCACTGGGTCTCCATGGCCCTTGTGTCCCCTCGCTGGCCTCAGTTTCCCTCTAGGTGGAGTGAATCTGGTTGTCCAGAAAGCCAGACCTTTTGCTTAGTGTGTGGGTCTCCTTCCGCTCCTGGAAGCATCACCCAATTTCTTTGCCTCAGAGGACTCAAACCCTGGGCTCGTTTAGGGGTCTGCTAATGTCCCCATTTCACAGGCTGGGAGCTAAGACCCAGGAAGAACTGATGCCGGAAAGGAGTGCTGCACGCTATCCTTGGCTACCAGCAGGACGGGTACCAGGCCGGGCTTAGTTCTGCCCGGTGACCCGGACAGGCACTCCCCTTCTCTGGGCTTTGGCTTTCTTACATGAAAAATGGGGCTGAGGTTTTAACCACGTCCACTCAGAAAGCCTGAGAGGAGGGAAACAGGCTTCCAGAGAGCCAGGTTGGAGGAGGTGGAGCCCGCGGAGCGTCCGTTTGCCCAGATGCCATCGTCCCAGCGCTGGGCCGGCCGTCAATCCCAGGGCTGCACAGGCCTGGGCTGAGAGTTGGGACTCTTGACTTTCAATCCTGGCTCTTCTGCTAACTTGTGACCATGTTCTTCATCCTCTGAACCTTAATTTCCTTATCTTTTATTAACAAATAGGGGTAATGAATCCTCTCCTGAAAAGCATGAGGTGTTCTTTACAAACTGAAGGATTTGTTACAAAGTTGATGGTGCTAGGAGCGAGACTGGTCACCTTGCTTGAAGGCCCATCGTCGGTGCGTGTGGGGTTTCAAACGGAAAGTCTCATGCGGAGATGCGCCTTTGCCCCTTGCAGCCCGTGTGCCGGTGAGCGTGTCGTCTCAGCCCCACTGGTAGCGCAGAGGAGTGATAGCTCTTGCTTCAAAGGATTGTTGTGAGGGGCGGATGAAGCAAACTGTAAAGTGCTGGGCACACATGGAGGGTTGTTTTCCCTCCCTGCAGTTGGGCCATGCGCTGTTGCTGCCTAGGAGACTTGTAGATTGAACACAGTGACCCAGAGCAAGCTGTCTGAGCCTCAGTTTGCTACTCTGTAAAATAGGCACGGCAACTGGTGACAGGGCAGGGCAAGGCTCAAACGCGACATGGTCTCAAGTGCTTGGGGGAGGTCCAGCAGGCGTGGAGCTTGCCTGGAGGTAAGGGGCAGAGAGAAAGGCCACCAAGCGCTCTGGTGCCGAGCGCCCTGGACAGCAGTATTTTTAGCCATCCCTCCTGGGCACAGTGCCAACTGCTGCATTTTAATGGAGAAATAATTCTCACAGTGCGACAAGCTGTAGCCTGCAGGTGTCACATCCATATCAAAGAGGGGACAGAGCGAGGGTTCATTTGCCTGGCTCGAGGTGTGACCAGAATTCCCCTCTGGGATCATCTGTAAGCAGCGTTGTGCAGACCAGTTGGCTGATGTGACCGCTCGCCACCCAGAGAGGGGAGACGGGAGAGAGGTTGGTGAGAGGCTGGGGACCCCGAGTCATGTGCCTCTCCACGCGAGTGTGAGAGTGTTCTGTCACACGCACAGACAGCAGTGGTGCTGTCCACAGGAGCAGAGGCACCTGACCTCCCTCTGTCCCAGAGGCGGCGCTGAGTGGGATGTTGGGACGTGTCAGCCGGGCAGTGTCCAAGGATCCTGTTGCAAAGCCCAAGTCTGGAACTGAGACATGGAGGCTGAGACTCAGCAGAGTTTGCTGCGTAGCCAAGACCCTCGGCCTCCCAGCGCAGGGCGCTCGGAGAGCAGCTCGGAGGCTGGCGTGCAGCGCAGTCACCACCAGATGCAGACGGCACAGAAAGGCAGTCCTCCCCTCCGAGGAAACGCCGTTAGGGTTTGCTGTCTTTCCAGACTGGTTTCTCCAGGCTCACACATTGATAAAAATGGTATCATACATATTGTTCTGCAACTTCTTTTTCCTGTTTTTCTTTTTTTTTTTAAGACAGAGTCTTGCTCTATCAACCAGCTAGAGTGCAGTGACATCATCATAGCTCAATGCAACCTCAAACTCCTGGGCTTGAGCGATCCTCCTGCCTCAGCCTCTGAGTAGCTGGGACTACAGGCTCAGAACACTGTGCCCAGCTAATTTCTCTATTTTTTGTAGAAACTGGGTCTCACTCTTTCTCAGGCTGGTATCGAACTCCTGACCTCAAGTGATCCGTCTTCCTGCCTCAGCCTCCCAGAGTGCTGGGATTACAGGCATGAGCTGTTTTGTGTTTTTTTTTCGGACTTTTCCCAAGTCAGTTCTTCTAGAGTGCCCTCCTCCTCTTTACTTTCCATATTGATATGTAACATACCTGCAGTGCTTAAAAGATACTAATCCTCACTGTAGGACTCCATGAATTTTTACACAAATATCTAACCATATAACCTCTACCAGATGGAGCAATTCCAGAATCCCAGAAAGTTCTTTACTGTCCCTTCCCAGTCAATAGGCCCACCCTGACTGTTTTCACCAGGAATTAGTTCTGCTTGTTCTTAAACTTCAAATGAATGGAATCCTGTAGTACATACTATTTTGTATCAAGTTTCTTGCAAAGACCTCCCTCATTCTTTTAAATGGCTACATAGTATCTCATAGTACTGCTGTTCTAGAATATTTTGTTAGTTCTTATGGCTTAGATACAAACAATGCAGGCTTATGCTCCAGTTTCTATAGTATAGAGCCCTAGAAGTGGGAGTTCTGGGTGCATTTTACATGTTGGTAGAATTGCCAATTGTTTGGGCTGCCTTTTTAGCCAGTCCCTGTGGCAGGAAGACTATGCAAGTGAAGAAAACTCCAGAGTGACTAGCAAAATGGATCATAGACAGGTAGAAATGGTGCTTGGAATTCATGGCCAGCTGGCGTCAGGGCCCTAGGGGCGGAGCCGACCCAGCAGTGTGCGGGGCCTGCAGTCAGCCTCGTCTGCCACCTCCTGGGCTGCCTGCCCTTCAGCGTCTGCTTCCGCTGCCACTGCCTCAGTTCCCCAGGAGCTGCCTTTGCCTTTCTGGGTCCCCGGCCCTGGGGTGGGCGTTCCTGACTCCGGCGGGTGGTGTGGGCCCAGAACTGTGGTCTGAGGGCGTGCCGGGCCGGGCCGCCCGCACCCAGAGCACGGACTGTAACGATGAGGGAGGTTTGCCTCAGGGCGAGCTCAACCTCTTGCACTACGTCCCAGGGCATTCATAAACTGCCATTTGGCTCTACTGGCTCCAGGTAATTATGGCGACACTATTTCATCACTAACAAGGCAGCACTTTGTTAGAACAGAGAAAAGCCCAAGCTTCACAGGCAGACACATCCCAGCCCTCAGACAGAGGGTCTGTGACCTTGATCCCAGCCTTTCTCCAGTGTCTGAGCAGCAAAATGTCCCCCTCCCCACCCCTCCTGAAGCTAATATGATTTCTCCATCTCAGCGCCCTCCTCTGGATGTGTTCATCATTGTTCTGTTCAGACCGAGGCCCCTGCCATGGATCATGACGTTTCAGCTCGGAAGAGATTAGCTCTCACCTCCTTGACCCTGGGCACTATGCTGCCATGACGCAGGTCTAGATGCCATTGGCCCAGAGGGCTCCAAACCCTGGCTGTGCACTAGCATCACTTCGGGAGTTTTAAATAATACTTCTGCCTGGGCTGCATCACCAGCAGTTCTGATGCAGCTGGTTAAGGTCAC